CTACACCTGGGGGAAGAGTAAAAAAATAGTATTATCCAAGATAGAAGAGTAAACCACTCATGGCCAAAGGTAGATAAGAGGAAGCATGCACCCGATATGAAAAGGTCACTGCCCATTCAACTCTTGAGTTTCCAAATGAAAGATAACACAAGTTCTGCAGCTTTCATATCATCAAATCGGTATCAGAGTTCTGGCAAACATCTCAAATGAATTTAAGAAGCTCTGTTGTGTTTCTCTAGTGAAAAAAATAGAAAGTTACCAATGCTGGCTGGAATAGGCAACCAGAAAGAAAACAAAGAAAGAAAGAAAGAAAGAGGTATTCAGCCTCATAACATAGTCCAGAGGCTGCTTTCTGTTCTCAGACATGACCAGAAGGCATTTATGGGCCCCAAGGTGCGTATTTGTGCCAGTCAAGGCTCCTGGGAAGCTAACAGCGTAAATCTCACTGGTGCCACAACTGTAGGCACCTGGGAAGTACCTCAGCCTCACCAGGCTGCATGGGCAAGGTGTTTCTGTGAGGTTGCACAAGACTATCTTAAAGCATGCACTGAACCTTCCCCACCCGAACTAGGCAGAAACGGAAGCATTCCTGTGTTTTCATTTTTAAATACCCAACAGCATGAATGTTTTGGCAAGCTGGAGAAAACTTAGTTGGGCCAAAACTGAAATAAAATTTCCTTCTATAGCATGAAACATTTGAATATCAATGGGATGGGGGAGATCCAAATCCAGTTTCTTCCATAGCCTCAATCTCTGCTGAATGTATTTCAGCACTATTTATGTACTTGGAACAGGACCTACCCCTTCTCAGGCAAGCATCATGATTATCAGACAAGTCACTCATGCTCGCTGATTCAATCATTTTACAGTGGCACAGTTTCTACAGGAAAGACTGCGATTGTTAGGCTGCTCAACTAGATTAGAGGAACTGCAGGTTCAAAGGACAGCATAGCGAGGAAGGATTTGAACACAGATCTCTTACACCCTCCGTAAGTGCTGTAACCACCAATTACGCAAGGCGTTAGTCCCTCAGCTGTGTTTTTGGAAGAAAGACCTGGCTTAGATGTCTACACAAGGGAATTGCTTGCATTTCTTTTCCCAGCTAATAGGCCAGCATAGTTCTAAGTGAAGCGATGAACAGAAGATTAAATGAAGGCAGATACTGAAAAACTGCTTCACACCAGAAAATTTCAGTCTCTTGGCCTGAGCGATGCTTTCTAGGGATACAAGTACATTTTGCTCTTCTCGCCATTGAAGCGCACTTACTCCTTGGTTCCAGGAAGGAACGCAGTAATGTTGATTAAATCAGTTTTTGCATCAATGCATGTGTCCTGTCACTCTACAGACTGGCATATATCGCAAGACAGTCACTCAAATGAAAGAGAAGTGTCAAATTCATCTGATGTTACCTAACAAAAGGGAATTTCTGAAACATTATATACTCACATTATAGTTTCTAATGACAGCTACAGCATGATTCCTATTGGTTGAATGTCTGACTTCCTAGTGCAAGGTTTCTTGATTATAAGAAAGAAGAAAGGATTTTTAAGTGCTGAAAATATTTGAATAATATGACTTTTCTTATTAGAGCTATTTCTAGCTCAGTGTTTTTAAGATGATAAAATGTAGAGAATTTAATTACAGTGGCATGTAATGAGCAAAATTTGTCTCTCCTCAAATTGAATTTATTGGCAGGGAGCCTGACCAAAACTAATGTTCATGTTCTTTTTAACTAGTATTTGTGATTCTGAAGCAAATTTCAAAATCATATGCTTTAGCGGAGGAATGACAAACAATCATGTTAGCAAATGAGAACATTTTTTTGTTTGTTGTTGTTATTTTGGTTTGGTTTGGTTGTTTTTGCGCAGTCACTTTTGGGCTCCTCTGTACCAAACACAGCCCTTTTTCCACATCTACTTTTAAGTCATGACAGCAGCAGCTTATTTCTTCCATGGCGGGAGCGAAGTTAGCACACAGATTACCATTCGTGATTGTTTGAACTCGCCAGAGAACAGCTAACTACCAACAACTGGCAGTAGCAGCTATGGTTATCTGCTCCCTGCAGAGCTGCTACTTGGACCTCCATTCCAAACACAGGTGCACACACACGCACACTCATTTTGGCCCTGGAAGTAACCTACCAGTTTCAAAACCACTGAGCTGGGAATCACATCTACTTTTTGGCGGCATGAAATTCCACAGTTCTTAATTTTGGGCAACACTCTCCATTACTATATCAATAAATACGGATTACAAATGCTGTCTTCCCCCTTAATTCTGATTCTTCAAGTTTTCTGCAAGCCTGGAGATCAGAAAATTAAAATATTCGTCTGAATTCCACTGTGCCAGAGATTAAAACTTCATTTTTAATAGTGGCTGTGGACAGAGCTACTGGACTACTTTCATCTTTATTGTTTAAAAACAGAATTCAAGAAAGTTAAGAAGTTAGAAAGAAATAAAGGAAGTACATATTTTTAAAAACAATTATTTGCTCTGGTTAATTATGTAGCTGAATAGCTCATCGGAAGTTCATAAAATTGTCTTCTAAAATTGAAGATAGACTTAAAATATAAATTAATTATGCCTATGTTTTTCTAAGACACAGGAGATCATTTACTTTGATAAATTAGCTTGACTATTCAGTAAGGTTGGGATAATTCCCTCTTCTCCCTTACAGCCATGCTACTTTCATTGCTAAAAAGAGGGATGGTTTCTTGCCTTCTTGACACAACAGCACATGTACATCAATGGTCACGTAGGATACAGATAGCAAAGTCACTCCTATCTATCTTCTTCACAAAGCTCTCTAAAAGCTTTGTTTCAAATGGTGAAGAAATGTACAGTGCTACGCAAGAAGCTGTATAAAACTTGTATACAACACTATTTGTGGATCTATGAGATTCCTCCAAGGAAAAAAGCATCAACTCTTAAACAAGCAACCACCAAGAGGGACCAATGCTGTCAATTACTTCCTCAGCAATACATAACCCACTGGCTGGTCCGTCATCTTTATTGTTTCAGCTGAAGTCATGCAAGGATAACGAATAGAGTGATGAGCAATCTGATGTTTATTCCTGCCCTCTATTCCTAATAATAATTAAAACAATGTGCTACACTGGTTTGGATTTGAATGTGCAAGCTCCCTCCACTGTAACTAAACTCACTGCCTTTAGCTTCTTACCACTAGATATCTCTAAAGAGGAGGGCAACGGAACTAAAACAGCTGAACTGTTCCTTTCCTGTTTATCTGCAGTTGAAACCATGATTTGCAGATTCATGTACAAAATGAAAGTAAAGTTACAGATATATGTACAAAATGGAAGTGCAAGTTATAAACTCAGAGATTAGTATTTTTATACTGTAAAAACATGTATGTCCATGACACTTAGTGTAACCTGACTTTAGTCACATCTGTTTCTCTGACATTAAGCCATAATGTCAGACAGTGGTTCTAAAGTTCAGTGTTAACAAGGTAGTACGCTTTGATGAGTGAGTGAAAAGCAAAGATAAGCAGAACAATTGGAAACTGAACTTAGCTCTTCTGAGAACGAAATTGGGGGAGCGTGTTCTGTTTTGAAAAAAGCTATCCATCTGTTAATATTGTACCACCCTCTCAGCGGAAAGTTCTCTTTATAGTGATAAATGGATCTAGAGATCTTTCACTACAGCATGGTAGGCACCTTGTACATTGATATTCAAATGTTTCATGCTATAGAAGGAAATTTTATTTCAGTTTTGGCCCAACTAAGTTTTCTCCAACTTGCCAAAACATTCATTATTTGTTTCAATACTCTCTGCATGTTGCTATCTCAACAACAGTACTAATTCATGTAAGATCGCAGTGCTGTGTCAAACATTTTAGCAGTAACAGCTACTTACACTTATGGTTATTAAATCAAAAACAATGACTGTAAGCCAGCGTATGTGAGCAGGAATAAATGGATGCACCAAACTGCTAAGGACCATTGCTTGAATTTTGATAGTTGTATAAATGTAAAGAGCTGAACCCAAGTATCATGGATACCAGGAGTGGTAAAAAAGCAATCTCACAATACAGAAAGGGCTCCCACCATTTCAAGTCTTTCTTCCGAAACAGGCAAATCAAACATGTAGCTTTAGTTTCTTCTCTTTATTGCTTGGTTACTAAACATCTTTGAGGCAAGTATCTAGAATGCTCTCATATTCAGAACAAAATTAAACCACACATTTCTCCTATTTTTTCAAAAGTCCTCAGCAAATTTGAAATGTTTTAAGATTTGCAGAAGTAAAAAAATTTGTTTCATAAAAAAAAAAAAAGACACTTACCAAAGCTCAAGGTAGTTCTGCTTTCCATGCCACAGTCTTGTCAACTTTGTTGGTTCTTGATTTTACTTCATCTGTGTTTATCAGAACAGAAATCAATTTTAGATGCTCTCCGTGCCTAAGATAACATCTTAAGAAAACTTCCAGTATTTGCAACTAGATAAATGATTTTACCTCATCAGTTTCCAGTGCAGTTCCTTCCTCTCTGGCATTTTGTCACCCTTTCATTTAGTTATGCAAATATGTAACCTGTGTTTTCATCCCTCTGGTTCAAGAAACGTGAGGTATGCTACACTACAGCTGCACTAAGCAAAACAAGATACTATAAAGAAAAATATTCAACACTGCCTATGGCACATCACAGAGCATACACTGTGGAGAAGCTGTAGCTCAACATTTCTGAGCTTGGCCCTTACATACACAGAGAAACTGTAACAGATCCTGAAAAAAATGTACATATTTTATTGGGAGCTGGGACAATGGACGGAAGAGCACTTATAGATTTTAAGATAATATAAATGCATAACATTTTCCTTTCCCTAACCCCCCAATCTGGGAAAGCTCCATACACTATCACTTTTGCTAGTCCTTTACTTCTATACACTATAACCCAAGTCTCAAAATTACCAGATATATCTAATGCTTCCAAAACCTTAGAGATTCTTCAGTTACTTATTAATCCCATGAAAATATCTCTGGTAGGAAATCAGTAATTTTAGTAGGAAAGGTACATTCAATATTGTAAAACATTTGCAATATACAGTTTTTACAGCAAGTAATACACCGTTGTAGATCTACAAAGAATATTTAATACACTTGGCTTTTACCTCATGATCCTCTTTAAATAAATATTTAATGAAAGCGTCTCACTTCTAACAATGGAAGTAACATCACAGATAAAGAGAGTATCAACCATGTTGCAGAAATGCTACAACAAAGCCCCTTTCACTCGCCAGTCTTGAGACAGCAAATCCTGCAATTCTTCTTCATCTTCACTACCAATAGCCTCATCCTCTTTCTCTTGAGTTGCTCTTAATCTCATGGCTTCCTTTAACTTCTCCTTCATCAGGTCCTGGCGGTTACGCAAAAGCTCAACACGGCGATAACATTCACTGTTGAAAGGGAAACCACATATTAATACTTGTGGCCTTTCCACATTAATTGGATTTTCTACAGTGCTGGATTTTGCTTCTCCAACTTTGGATAAAAAAGCTCCACAGCTTCCCATCATTTAAAAAATAAGCTTTCAATATGCCAGTGCACCTTCTCTGTATTAATCAAGTGGAAACAGACCAGAGGAGAGGTGTGGTCCATTCTCTAGCAATGAGATCTAATCCAAATACTTAACAATAAAATTTTTAAAAAAGCACAGAACCAATATCCACACAAGAAGAGACACCATTCTGTGCTCCACTTACGGTTTTCATATATGGTAGAAAGGTGAGATATCAATTGGCTATCAATTTTGGTAACTTAATGGTGGCATCTCTGAAAATAAAAAAGCAGCCCAAGTGTTCAGATCCTTTATCTGCTTACTGTGAGCTATAACAGAACATTTTAAGTAAACACAATTCACGAGTTTCAGTTTTCCATTTACTTAGAAAGTTCTGTCCTTGAAATATGTTGTATAACAATTATTCTAGCCATTTTAACAGGGTATTTTGTCAAAAATGCCAAGTAGTATCAGCCTGATTTAAACACATCTTTGCTTCTTTCATTCCTATTTGCTAGGAAGAGTCAACACGGAAAGATTATTATCTGGATCCTGTTTCCCCTTGCATATCTGCAATATGATTACTTACAAACAGTCACAGCTGAAGATTTGAAGGCTAAGGAAAACATGAATGTCACTGGAATTAATGTGATTTTGAATTTAATTCTAAATAGCCTGCATTTAAATGCACTCAGAAGACACAGTTACAAAACCAGTCTTTAAAAATCTATTTGGAACTTTTATTTTGGGAAAAATAATTATGGTAGCAAACTTGAAATTCTCTACAAATTTCTGAATTTGGTTCTAGGTACTATACCATCCTAAGCTACTGGTAAAAATGAATGCTCAAAGACAGCTAGGTTTAGCTCAAGCCCTCTCCAAAATTACGTGAACATTGTTAAAAGACATCCTTGTACTACCAAAGCTCAGTTTGAACCTAACGCTATTGTTATTATATGCTGATTATCTATAGCATGTAAATCTGGCCAGATGGCTTAAGTATTGCTTGAATTTTTAGTGTCTTCTTTTTATCGCAAGGTTCATTAAAATCAGAATTCATCTTTTTCTTTTCAATCACTAGCATTGCCATAATCACTGTTAATCAATGTGTTAAGCTACATGATAATGGTAACAACCTGTTCCACTAAGCTGTATTCCAGGTTATTTGAGAGTTTAAACTAATGCTTATCCAACTGCTACACCTACCATTTCAACAAAACAAAACAAAAAACCCCACTTCATGTAATGAAGTGCATCATTCAACAAAACCTTTAAGTAAACTTTTATCAGAAACAAGGTGAGTTAGTCACAGAATAAGGCATTTTCAGTACAGCAAATGGATGATCAAAACACAAATCTCGTTATCGAAATTTTAATTGCAGTATCAGAGTATCAGAGTATCAGTTTTTAAAAAATGTTCACATAAATTCTACATCAATCAGAATTCAGAGATATACACTTTAAGACATTTGACAGGGGGCAGGGGGACAGCTTGTTCAAAGAATTTGCCTTCTATTGCTTTATTTTGCCCATGACTGCTTGCTGTATTTTCAGTGATTCTAGCGCATTCTATCTTTGCAAATAATTACATAACTTTGCACCAAAATTCATGTTTTTATTAGGTTTCATTCTGCAATTTGAGGGAGTCCGTCTTTCTCCTTCAAATATTTAGGTGATTAATGAAAGACAGTACCACTAAAGATTAAAATTAAAAATGTTTTTATCACTCTAGTCAAATAGCAATCCATTACTGCTGGAGAACAGAAAGTTTGAGGAAAAATTGATCTACTTACATCTGCTCGTCAATTTCTCCAATCTGACGATCTAGTCGTCCCTCTTCATCCTCTTCTGCCACTATTGCTTCTGAAATCTAAACCAGAAAAGCGCTAAGAAAATTCACCTTCACCCTGAATTCCACTGTTGTTCCTTTTTGATGTCTGTGTCTTCCCCTCCTCCCCTCTACCTCAAGTCAATGTCAATCTCCTATACATATACTCCCACCTTCACAAGAGACTCTGGAGGCAAATACAGAAAAAAACTGATCTGGTTTAATTTGAAATGGAAACGTTTTTTCTTAAAACTAAAAGTTAAAAGTAGTTTGGCTGCTTTGGGGTTAACCTTTCGAATTTTTCAATACACTACTATTTGAAACTGAGCATAAACAAACTACACTCATCCAAAGTCTGAGGCTGAAATAGGAGCTATATCCCAATGCTTGGGACTTAATTACACAAGCTTATTGAAAGTATTGGTTAAATATTCCCACTAGATCCCGAAGTGTTTCTAATCTGTTATTTTTTTCAGCATATACTTTCTCAAATCTGAATGTCTGGGAGATGCTATGCAATCAATGGTCCACGCATAACTGAGAAGATTCCTTCTAAGCTGAAGAATTATCTGAATGGCTAATGCTAGCAAAATGTATCCACCACTGCTTTTGTATGAACATTCGCTCTGTTTATAGCGCTGACCACTTTAAAATGAGCAATGATTAATTTTTTTGCACCACTTTTCTTAGCAGTAGACATATGAGCAATTATTTACAATTAAAATTTAAAAACTAGCAAATACTCTAGGGGAAGATTGAGAACACCAGGTATCTTTAGTGACAGTTTTATGTTGTACAAAAGGGCAGATAAGAACCTGTTCCGGGAAGGCTTTCCATGCAATGCTAAACAGTAAAAAATGGAAGTAGAGAAAAATTGGGGCCAACATATGACTCTCACACACAAAATCTTTTGTCACTTTCCCAAATTTTGGGGTTCCTTTCCAGTACATTTAAATTAACCATAAAACCCAGGTTATCTACACTTTATAGATCCTTTCCGAAAAAGACAAACAGGTGGTGTTTTGTTCTGATTTTTTCAAGGTTAAAATATGAATATATCTCATCTAAAGAAGAGCCCCCAATTATGTCCTGTCTGGATACAGGACACTGATCTGAGGTATATGCTATCTTAGTTAAATACAATTTAACAAATGTAACTAGATATATATAGATGACTGGATTCTCATCAAAAGTTTTCTCAACTTAATTTCCCTTAAGTGGAAAACAGAAGTAACCCTTTGCTCATTTATAAAGTGCATTTAACCACACACTGCATTGCAACAAACAACTGACAAATGCAGATGTCAGTCATTCTGCAGAGCTGCATGAAACTGTTGTTTTCCTTACTGTGTATAGTATTTAGAATCAATAAAAATAGATTCCATTACTTACTGTGTTGACCTGTCGCATTGCCTTTTGAAATTCATCCCATTCTTTGTCCATCTGATCTTTTGGAGCATCAACTTTTCGCACCTAAGGAACACGAAAAAACAGGCTTATTAACAATTTATGTCTAGTGACTCTTTGGGGCACTGTAAAACACCTGGAGAAATAGGACAAATTATGCTGTGTTCTCAGAAAAGTCTGGTCAACATACTTCAGTTTAAGTAATGTATATGAACAAGAGAGTACAGCTGCACAATGGTTTTGGAGGAAAAAATCTGACTCTACTGGATTAAAACAACATCCTTGACTGTAGCATTAAAGAATAATTAAGAACACATGGTGTGGAATGTCTGGATTAAAAAAAAGTGACTAAGTCTGTTAATTTGATGGTCTGTAATTTTACTATGTCAGGTGATAACTTTTAAATTCTTCTGTAAGCTGCCTGTTCAATCGTAAACAGTAGCTATCTCACAAGCCAAAAAGCAGTGAATTATTTGCCTTTGGCGTAACATAAAATATCAAATGATTCAGTCACTAGTCTGACTGGTATTAGATAGTCTGACTATATTTCAAATCTAGTCCAATTTTGTTGGCTAACAGAAGAAATAGTACAGCTACATACCAATTTTAACAACATGCAAAGCTTTTTCTTATGTGGTAGACAGCATTAATTACTAAGACAAGACGACTGAAAAAGTAGTAGCTGTAAAAATGCATTTAAGATCTACAACTAAGGTAATCAAAACCAGATTGTGCTTTTAACACAAGCAAATAAACAAGGTAATCTACCTGTGTAACCAAAACTTCCACAATTCAAGACTGGAAGATGCGGCATGTAACATATGTTAGATGACAGATTATGCCTGGCTCTGGACTGGGTGGAAATTATACAGCTAGAAGAACTAAGCAGTTTGAACAGAATAATTAATGACACCATCTTTTTGCATTAGTTTTATTTTTCCTTTATTCATTCCTCTCTTTTGGTAACACATCAGTCATCATCATGGTAAAGATAACAGTTCGGTACGTTTTGTTCCTGAATGATTATAAAAAAATCCAGTAGTATGAATTAAGTTTACAGAATAAATTAGAAGCTTCCAAGCTAACTACATACTGGGAAGTAATAGTCATCATTTCATTTTTCTGTTCTGTGATTATTTCTATCATATGTGTATGTACTGTGTTATTATGCATTGTGGTTGTCTTTTGTAATTCATAATTATTTGTATTTCTTACAATAAATTTAAACACTAAAGATATTATTTTTCCTTGAAATATTTATCTAATCCATAATTTATATGCTGTATAAATTCCTGATATAAAGAACTAACATTTTTCAAGCCCACAATCTCCCTTCCAAAAAGCTGTTAATTCTGAAAACAATTATTTTGTGTATGATTCCAACTCAGAATCACTGCAGCCATCACAACATAAGCGATGTCACAAACATTTTCCTTCCCCTGCATATTAGCTAAACTTAGAAAGGGTTGACTAAAAAGAAGAGCACCTGCAAGCAACTCAAGGAAGAGCTTATTGGAACATGTATGCATTTGTAAATTTTATCAGCTGAGGCGATGACCAGAACAAAGATCACTAACCAGTGTCCTCACAGATAGAAGCAGATTCTCCTTTACCTGC